CTCCTTCTCCTTTCTCTTAGATTGGAGGGCTCGGCCTTTATTGCTTCCCATCTCGTCCTCAACCCTCGAGTACTTGTTGATCCGGGCCATCAGTTCCCCCATATCCGAGGGAGTCTTCTTAGTCAGGGATCGGTACAGGTCCGTGTCCCTCGCCAAGCCGAGCCTGAAAGATGCCACTGTCATGACTTCCAAGCAGCCTTCTACCTCATTAACCTCTTCCCAGTATCGGATGGCATACTGGCGAAGGGTCTCAGATTCCCTACGTCTGAGGGTCAGCAATGATCCAACGTCTTTGGGGCGCTTACTCCCCGTAATGAATCGAGCCAGGAACTGCCTCGTCAATTCCTTCCACGACCCAATACTGTTTGGGGGAAGCGCCTCGAACCACTTCATCGCAGAGTCCCCCAAGCTCATTGGAAACACTCGGCAGAGAAACCGTTGATCCGAATGATAGAGGGACATCATCTGCTTGTATTGCCTGAGATGGGCTTCAGGATCAGACCGCCCGTCATAAGTTTTAAACCTCGGCACGATGAACTTTCTTGAAACCTCCATCTCTCCGATCTCCCTGGTGAAGGGTGTTTGTATGACCTCGTCTTCGACCTCATCCTGGACAACCTTACTCTTTCTCCTGGATTCCAGCCGGGCTCTGAGATCAATTTCCTCCCTGACGGGATGTCTTCTGAAGTCCTTGAGTTCATCAATGGGCCCCTCATTTCCTGGGCACCGTGCGGATAGGGTAGAATCCTCCTCGGACTCATCCCCCTCCCTCTGTCTAGACAATCCTCGCCGGAGGTCGTCCAGCGCTAATGGTCTTGCCTTCCTTGAATGGTCGTTAGGAAGGTGTTCGTTAGCTCTCGGTCGCTTTGGAGCCCGGGAGCTCTCTGCCTTGTTGTTTAGATGATTCCTTAGATCCTTCGTTTCTGCCTCCCGGGCGGGGAGCCCACGAGAGAGGAATGAGTTCCTCGACCCTTCGCCGGAGGCGGCGAATTCGTTGAGCCGGCTTAGGACGTTTACATTGTCCTTTTCCAGCTGTCGTAATCTATCGCCAAACTTTATTTCGATCACCTCCGCCAGTTGACGCGCCAGGGGGGGCTGACCCTCCTGACCTAATTCCCATACTGGTTTGAGGGGTAACCCCTCTTGACTGAGTGGAGGCATTTTTATTCCCGTCAGTGTGATCCCTTCCTCCGTGGTGATAGGGAGCTTGTAGTTCGAGACTTCTTTGGTGGGGACCTTTCCCTTTTTGTCGAGTGTTCATCATGGTCACTGTTCTTTATAGAGAAAAAACTAGGAAAACTAGTCTTTTCCCACAGACGACACCAGATTGTGCGTGCAGGATCTTGCACAATATAAAAAACGAGAACAGATCTCTCCCTTGGTGAACTAGAGTGAGTCAGTTGAGTGGTCAACCACGCTGCTTGGAACAGCCTGCGAGGTCCGGTGGTAACCTGGAACGGCAACGGGAGACCCTGGGGGAGCGNTCTTGCCTTCCTTGAATGGTCGTTAGGAAGGTGTTCGTTAGCTCTCGGTCGCTTTGGAGCCCGGGAGCTCTCTGCCTTGTTGTTTAGATGATTCCTTAGATCCTTCGTTTCTGCCTCCCGGGCGGGGAGCCCACGAGAGAGGAATGAGTTCCTCGACCCTTCGCCGGAGGCGGCGAATTCGTTGAGCCGGCTTAGGACGTTTACATTGTCCTTTTCCAGCTGTCGTAATCTATCGCCAAACTTTATTTCGATCACCTCCGCCAGTTGACGCGCCAGGGGGGGCTGACCCTCCTGACCTAATTCCCATACTGGTTTGAGGGGTAACCCCTCTTGACTGAGTGGAGGCATTTTTATTCCCGTCAGTGTGATCCCTTCCTCCGTGGTGATAGGGAGCTTGTAGTTCGAGACTTCTTTGGTGGGGACCTTTCCCTTTTTGTCGAGTGTTCATCATGGTCACTGTTCTTTATAGAGAAAAAACTAGGAAAACTAGTCTTTTCCCACAGACGACACCAGATTGTGCGTGCAGGATCTTGCACAATATAAAAAACGAGAACAGATCTCTCCCTTGGTGAACTAGAGTGAGTCAGTTGAGTGGTCAACCACGCTGCTTGGGACAGCCTGTGAGGTCCGGTAGTAACTTGGAACGGCAACGGGAGACCCTCGTGGATTGAAGGAACGATCCAGTAAGGCTGGAGAAAGGTTCCTAGAACAAAGAAGAACAAGTTAGAAGGGCGCCGGAGTGTTTTCCGGCTTATCCCCTCCGACGATCAAGTCAGTTTTTNAGAACAAGTTAGAAGGGCGCCGGAGTGTTTTCCGGCTTATTCCCTCCGACGATTAAGTCAGTTTTTGAAAGGGAGAGGAAGAAGAAAGCACTGAGTATATTTCGTAGTAAAGAGTTTTTTGTTCCATACCGTCTTGCCTTTTACGAGGAGTATTTATACCTCAAAAGCTCATGATTGCTGTCAGTGTCGTCAGTAGATGATCATTAGGTACTGGCAGTGTGCGCACTGATTCTGATGAGGAATGTCTTCCTTTCTTTAACTGCTCGGGGAGCCGAGCAATCAANGCTCATGATTGCTGTTAGTAGGTGAGCTCCAATCGGGGAGGATGCAATAAATGCTCAGCCTTAGAGACATTTATTGCCTTTCAATTTCGAGCCTTACAGCATTAAATGCGGTCTCATCAAGAGAATGGTGTAATTAAATGTTTGCTTTCCCAAGTCGCATGTCAGTAAGGGCATGCGGTCTTTCTGTCTCTGATGTGACACAATTTGCCACGCGTCCATCCCTCATTGGCTGTGGACCCTGCCTTCCTGTGCCTTCTGACACCAATTGTGTAAGACGAGACCATGATAACTAACCTAGACTAGCCTAGGCTAATGACCTGTATATCAATAGCTTATACTGGAGCAGAGAAAAGGCATCCTGGACGGGGTACATCTCGGCACCAAGGATAGGTACATCTCGAGCCGAGGGAAGCTGTACATGACGACCGAGGTACCATATCAGACCGAGGGATACGTGTCGGTTCGTAAAACGTACTCGACCACGTGTCAAGTACCTCGGGGGCGAGGGAGTTGTAAAGCGATGGTACATGATCTCAGTAACATGATTTTTTAATGACGCCGAGGACACTTGTCTTCATATTGGAGTATTTCAGAAAAGTCCCATCAATAATTAATGTAATCTGTCCTTCAGTCTTTTCAACTTTAAAAATTTAAAAATATCTCTACCTTATTATTATAAATATATAAATTAAAATTAAAAAATATATGAATATTTAACAAAGAAACTCTATCTTAATTTCGTAGAAACTTGAACCTAAAGACCCAACCGGACCAGTCTAGGGCTGTCATTGTTGTGGGCCTATTACACAGTCCGGCAAGTTGGACTTTCACAATTAATTCAGCCCTAGAGTCATTGACAAATTAGTACACTAAATGATTTTATGAAAATAATTGAATTCACCAACAATTTAAAGGTATGGACCCACCTAAACAACCCACAATTATGTACCGTAATGATGTCAGTCAACATTTAGTAAAGTGTAGAATGAAACTGTGTTTTTTAATGCTATCTTAAGCAGGAGAGATGTAAAATTAGAAGAATAGAAAATTATAAGGAATAAATTTTATATTCTCTGAGGAAAGAAAAACACTATCTCTCTTTTGTGTTTTGTATGATGAATGAAAAGTTGAAAAAATTAATTTTTTATTATTTGATATCAGACGAAAAGTAGAAGAAAAGAAAAGATATATGTAATATTTAGAAATATATTTTAAGGACAAAAAAGTCAATTTATTCAAAAAATTGAATAAAAAAGTCAAGAAATTAATAATTGGACGTAAGACCCACTAATTTGGTACACTTGTACATAAAAGATGACAAAATAGATGGGCTACACCCTTCCTTCCACTTTCTTCCCATTTGTAGAGTGATTAAAAAAGGTGGGCCCAAAGATATGATTTCCACCCAATTTTCTTTTTCCCTCAATTTTCCTTTCATATCAAAGAAAGGAAAATGTTATTTTTTATCCTATTTTCTATCCACTTACTTTTCCACCAAACCAAACAGGCCATAAGAAAGTAGGGTAAGATTATGGTACCAAGCAAATATTATATCTAAAATTATAATTTTTTTGAGTTAAGTTACAAATTTTTAAAGTTAGGCTACGACTTAAAAAAAAGGGCAATCTTATAGTTTACGATTCCATAAAACATCACTATTGGGGTCAAGTTACATTCTTTTCGGGAGTTAATTACAATATTTTGAGAATATTTGTAAATGATTTTAGAATTTCAAAATTCATTATAACATTTATGATTGATTCTCAAGTTTTAAGATCGATTACAAATACTAACCAACCATGCTAAAAATTATATTTTATGATATATTATCAAAAAAACACTTTTAGTCTCGTAAAAAGTATGGATGACGGATCGTGAATTTTGACTCATGGGTAGTTTAAATTGTAATAGAGACAAATTGTAAGTTTAAATTTTGATAATTTTTTAAGGTCAGATTATGAGAGATTTATTCTTTATGAAAATCTTAATTCCAATATGAAAAATTAGTGAATGTATGAATAAGTTGATCTGAAACACCCTTAATCGCTGAAAAACAAAAGAACATTCAACTTTTGTTTAGATCATGTTAAAAAATGATCAATTTTAACAGACTAATTCCGTAAGTGTTGTTTTTGTGTTGTGCCATAGAATATTGCCCCTAATTATAAGCGGTGACCTGACCGGTAGGAGTCCTGACCATGTCCTCTAGTTTCTATTTCCTACTTCTCAGCAAATTTCGAAGCATCATCTAGAGAAAAGCAATGAGAAAAGAAATCCTATCAACTAACTTACTTGCATTNTTGCTGAAAAACAAAAGAACATTCAACTTTTGGTTAGATCATGTTGAAAAATGATCAATTTTAACAGACTAATTCCGGAAGTGTTGTTTTTGTGTTGTGCCATAGAATATTGCCCCTAATTATAAGCGGTGACCTGACCGGTTGGAGTCCTGACCATGTCCTCTAGTTTCTATTTCCTACTTCTCAGCAAATTTCGAAGTATCATCTAGAGAAAAGCAATGAGAAAAGAAATCCTATCAACTAACTTACTTGCATTCTTTGCTCTGTTGATCTTTTCATTCACTGGTGAAATTGAAACACGATCACTTCAGCAAATTTGTTCTTCTTCGTGTGGGAGTATCCGAAACATCAGCTACCCTTTTCGTTTAAAGGGTGATCCACCAAGCTGTGGCGATTCAGATTACGAACTTGCATGCGAGAACAACGTAACAATCTTGGAATTTCATTCAGGGAAGTATTATGTGAAGCAAATTTCATACGAAATGCGGACAATTCGAGTTGTTGATGTTAATTTTTCCAATGGAACATGTAATTTGCCCTACAAATCTGTGTCATTTGAAGAAGTAGAAGGTGACATTCGTTACCAAGGAAGATTTCTACAGACGTATGCGAGTTTCATGAACTGCTCTACAATTATCAGTGACCCAGCTTACAGAAGACTTCCTTGTTTGGGTGGAAATGGAAACACAACACATTTTTACGTTATCTACAATAGCTTCAGACTCTCCGATCTTCCTTCTGTTTGCGATTTTGTCTCAACGACTCCTCTAGCTTTTTCAAATGTGAGACACCCTTCTTATGAGGCTATTTTGAGTTTACTGGAATCCGGGTTTGTTTTGGAATGGTCAGTTGAGTGCCGAGATTGCCTGTTGTCCAATTCTACATGCGCAATAAGTACATATGAGTTACCATTCAATTACCATTGCTCTAAATCTGGTTGGTTGTCCTAAATTCTCCTAACTCTTTGTTCTTTAGTTTCTATGATGTTGTTTGTTGAGGGTTTTTTGTTAGACTAATTTTTAATGTGCTTATGCAGATAGTGTCGTCCTCATAGTGACTCAAGTTTTCTTCTCCTTTGCTGTTAGCATTTTAATTGGTACTTTTCCTTGCTGAAACTTTAGTTTTTCAAGTATGTCACTTTTTAGATCCTAAATTCACTTGGCTAATACATTTTCACTCTCTTTTTCCTTTTTTTTTTTGCAGTTTTTGGCCTTATAGCTAGATTTATTATTGCTCCAATAGTCATATTTGTGTTCCTAATCCATAAATTTCAAAAAGAACGAAAGGTAGTTGATAATGTAGAGAAAATTTTACGCAATCACCAGTCCTTAATGCCCAAAAGGTACTCTTACACTGAAGTCATTGCAATGACAAACCACTTCAGAGACAAATTGGGGCAAGGTGGCTTTGGGTCAGTGTATAGGGGGCAACTCCCAGGTGGTTTCTTAATAGCTGTTAAAATGCTTGAGAACACCAAGTTTAGCGCAGACGAATTCATCAATGAAGTTTCAACAATCGGTAGAATTCACCATGTCAATGTGGTGGAGTTACTGGGGTTTTGTTCTGAGGGGTCTAAACGAGCTCTTGTTTTTGAATACATGCCTAATGGATCGCTTGACAGACATATTTACTCGAAGAAAGGAAAGGGTCAGTCATTTAGTTGGGAAAAACTCTTTGAAATTGCTCTAGGAACAGCTCGAGGCATTGAATATCTGCATAATGGATGTGATGTATGTATTCTTCATTTCGACATCAAGCCTGGCAACATCCTTTTAGACCATAGTTTCACCCCAAAAGTTGCTGATTTTGGCCTTGCGAAATTTTACCCGAAGGAGTTTGATTTTGTGTCGGTTAGCTGTACCAGAGGAACAATAGGTTACATAGCTCCTGAGTTGGTTTCAAGGAACTTTGGTTCAGTTTCCAGTAAATCAGATGTATATAGTTTTGGGATGTTATTGTTGGAAATAGCTGGAGGGAGGAAGAATGTTGATGCAAAGGCAGAAAGATCAAGCCAAGTTTACTTCCCATCTTGGGTTTATGACAATCTAGATGGAGGAGGAGGTTTAGAACTTGAGAATGTAACTGAAATTGAAATTGAGACTGCTAGAAAGTTGTGTGTAGTTGGGCTATGGTGCATCCAAATGAAGCCTTCTGATCGGCCTTCAATGATTAAAGTGGTGGAAATGTTAGAAGCGAACATCGATGATTTGAAGATGCCTCCTAGGCCCTTCTCATCTTCCCCTCAGCATGTGGCGTTAAAAGAGCAGTCTGATTCTTCAACAGAGATCATATCTGAATCCATGGAGGAACGCTTGTATTATGGTGCTAGCAGTTCTCACCAATCTAATGTGTAATTGACTGTAATATGTCTTTCCTTTTTTTTTTTCTCCTGGTGTTTGTCTTTGTGAATTTCATATTGTATAAACTGTAATGAAGCTTGCAAGCTTATGGCCACCTATAGGATTATTAAATCCCTTTAAGGATATTCAATGAGAGGACTAGCTGAACCAGTATGACTTGAAGGCAGTAATTTTGTATTCTCTTTGATATATATGACAGTATTTTTTATGAACATATTATATATACTCGCAAGGTTTTGGCAACTCTGAGTTTAACTAGCCAGTTCATTCAAGCATTTCACTAAAAAGTCTCGGCTTAAGACTTGTTTTCCCTTTGCAAACCCATGCAACCCAACCTAGGTAGCTCGAGTGGTAAGAAGGATTGATCTCTTGTAAATTCCCTATTCTTGATATGGATGACCTATTTTTGACTGGACTGGACTGGAGAGTAGATTAGTCGAGTTACGTTTAAAATGGTCCAGACATCCCTAACCGTTGAACTAAAAAATAAACCTATGGAACCAAAGTTAAATTCTCAATGTTATTAGGGTTTCGATGCTGTATGTTTTAGGCCTTGTTTTAAAGTGGACTCACAAGGTTAATTTTACAAATCATTTTCTAAAATCATAGCTATTGATTCGGAAATACTTGAATATTACGCTACATGTTTTTAAGGTGGATCTTAGACCACGTAGGTAGTGGCCTAATGTTTGAGCCGACCCTGCTTCATAGATGACTTGGTCAAAAGTTGCAGTAGATAGCAAGGCAATCAATCAAACTACCAGTAGAACTTTCAAAAAAAAAAAATCTACTAGAATAACTTGTCATGGTTTTGGTTTGTTAGTGTTGCCGAAGAGAGAGAGAGAGACTTGGTACCATGATGCTTCTTGTGGTCGTCGGTAGTCCACAAACCCAATAAAGAAAATCTATCCACTTCTGAGGTGAGAAAACAATGCATAATTTGGCAGCAGTCCTCCTCATTAATTGGTCAATTTTCTTCTTCTACTCAATCAAGTGCCAGATATTTGATAGAGATCTGAACACAATTTTAACGAGGAAGACTGCTGCCCAATTATGCATCGTTTTCTCACCTCAGAATTGAATAGATTTTCTTTATTGGGTTGGTGAACTTTTCCGAAGACCACAGGAAGCTCCATGAGACTAAGTCTCTCTTTCTCTCTCCATGCCCATGTCTCATCTTCTCTGTGTAATTCTCTTCCTTCTCTCATCCTCTACACAAACAAGAACACTAGGTGACAACAGTGGTGAGAGTTTCTTCAAACAATGTCCACCAACCAAATGCACCAACAAAGGCCCAACAATCAGATTTCCTTTTAGGCTCAACACTCAGCCATCCATTTGTGGCCTTGAAGGATATGAATTATCATGCTCTGGCAACAACACACTCATCAACTTTCCTTTCTCAGGAAACTACTATGTTAAAGAGATTTCGTATCGAGAAAGGACAATTTCGCTCATGGAAGTCCATTACAAAAATTGCCCATTACAAAGCCTTATGTCCTTTAATCGATCTGGTTCAATCTTGGATAAATCAACCACCCCGTTCTTATCTTTTGCTCTCGTAAAATGCCTCGACAGAGTTGCAACAGATCGAATGATAGGACCGATTGAGTGTTTGCGCGACGATGATAGTCTAGTATATGTAATGGATGCTGATGGAGCAATGGATAGGCTGCCATTAAATTGTCACACATCTAAAACAGCCGAAATAGCAAATAGTGGGTTAATACATAGTGGTGTGATTCCAGCAATTGAGAGCCAGCTAAGAACTGGAGAGATCATTGAAGAATGGAGAACTCTTGACTGCTACTATGGTTGTGAAACATCATGGAATTACTGTGCTTACAATAGTACAAGTAATGAAACCATCTGTTATAATCCGAGGCACAAAAGTAAGTGACAATCACAATCTCTTTCTCAAGTAGTTATACTTATCATTTATCACTAGCTAGTTATGAAGCATATTCAAAAGGATATGAATTATTGAGGCTTCCACCTTGGTGTTTGTCGTTTGGGAAAGCTTGGCTTGAGCAGTTACCTCAAAGAGGCTTATGTTTAATAACATGTTGGCTAATTAGCATATCATTTTTGTTTGTGTTTTGCAGGTTCTCATGTACCTTTGATTATAGGTAAGCTTTCCTCAATAAATCTTTTATTCTTGTATAAACTCATACATATTCATACTGATTGTGGTTTTGTACCTCCAGGCACAAGTATTGGTGGCACCATTTTACTTGCAGTGATGATATTTTTAATCTGCAGATCAAGAAAATCTGACAATGAAAAAGAAACTTGGCTGAAGATAGAGAAATTCCTAACAAATTACAAGACCCTTTCTTTAACTAGATACAATTTCTCTGAGATCAAAAAGATAACTCGTCGATTTAAACACAAACTAGGCCAAGGAGGTTGTGGAAGTGTTTACCAAGGAAGTCTTCCTAATGGAATACCAGTTGCAGTTAAAATGCTCGAGAATTCAAGAGGAAATGGTGAAGAATTCATCAATGAAGTGATTGCTATAAGCAGGATACACCATTTCAATGTCGTTCGCCTTTTGGGTTACTGCTACGAAGGGACTCAGCGTGCTCTTGTCTACGAGTTCATGCCCAATGGTTCACTTGAGAAGTTCATCATCTCAATTATCAATGATTCAAAGACTCATCGACAATTGAGTTGGGAAAAGATACAACAAATTGCAATAGGCATTGCCAGAGGAATTGAGTATTTGCACCAAGGATGTAACCAAAGGATCCTACATTTCGACATCAAGCCTCACAACATTTTACTAGACCATAATTTTCAGCCTAAGATTGCTGATTTTGGGCTGGCCAAGCTTTCCTCAAAGGATCAAAGTATTATATCTGTGACAGGTGCAAGAGGGACTCCAGGCTATATTGCACCCGAGCTTTTCTTGAGGAACTTTGGAGAGGTTTCGTACAAGTCAGATGTATACAGTTTTGGAATGTTGTTATTAGACATTTGTGGTTGTAGGAACAACAAAGTCGATGAAACAGTTGAAGATCAAAGCCAGATTTATTTGCCAGAATGCATTTATGACAGATTGAGTGAAGGGAAAGAGCTGGAATTGCAAATTGAGACGGGTGAAGAAGAGATGATAGCCAAGAAGCTCACAATTGTGGCCTTTTGGTGCATTCAATGGAGGCCAAAGGATCGACCTTCCATGGCAATGGTGGTTCAGATGCTGGAAGGTGACTTGCAAAGTCTAAAAATGCCTCCAAAGCCTTTTGTTTCTTCGGATGTCGATGTTGGTTCAACTTGATGTTGATTGCTGAAATTGTTAAGCGTATGCTTCCATGACATCAATTTCCTTGTTTTGTACTTATGGTTTGCCAAGCCGGATGGTGCTTAAAATCGAAAAACGCTGGTGTATGTAGTGTCGTGCGCTCCACATGTATAATTATGGGTGAAGATCCACTTCGTTTCTCCCACTTCGCAGAACAACAATAACAAAAACTCTTATATTACTAATCATCTTTGTGTAAGTTTAGTTGTAAGGTGTTGCATAGGGTTGATGCAGTAGATTTTTAAAACATTACGTAGAATGCAAGCCCAAAATTCATACATATAAGGTATCTCTTAAACACATAAACATACTTCATCAAGCGATACCAGAGTTGGGTTACCATTATTCACCCCTCTTAGAGGCACACATCCACGTATGAGACTCGTTAAAATCCCGGCAATTTAACATTCTGAAGGAAAAGATGACCAATAAGCTATCTCCTATGGTCCCACAAAATTGAGATGCACAAGGGGTGTACAAAACTACATGATCCTTGCTTCACGAGAGTCAATGACTTTAAAGCCAATGATAATGCCTTAGATTGATATTGTATAATGTTGTCACGTCGGCCTAGACCTGCACAATTTTAACAAGCTTTGGACAACAAAAGTTCAAAGCTTATATTGATCTTAAAATACTCGTCACACATTCCACTAAACGACATGAAATTAGGTGACTAAAAGGGGGAGTTCAAAGTTTACACACTTATAAACACTCGTCAATCTGGCTCAAAATAAGGGCAGGTTTATTGTCTTACACTGTTTAATGAACGCAAATATGATATATGCTTTCCATGCTGAATAAAACCACCAAAGAAAAAGATAATTTTCCAAATTTTTTGTTTTTAGATTTACTCTTGTAGAGTATATACATGCAATCACCTGTTAACTATAAGTAATTTAGTTAAACACAGGAGTAATCGACAGGATTAAGTTTACGGTTTCTCCAAAATTCAATTTCACACTACGCTATCGGTACGAGTTGAATCCATAAATTAGACATGATGGTAAGGAGTTAATTATATACTAGTACATGCTAGGAGGTTGGGAATGTATCTGCAAACCCCTGAGGATTAGTCTGTACAAATTTACAAAACTGAACAGGGCTTCCAGGGGAACAACCTGAAGAAAATGGGTACAATAAAGCACTTATAGAAATGAGAAGTGTTTTTCCTNGCTCTGGCAACAACACACTCATCAACTTTCCTTTCTCAGGAAACTACTATGTTAAAGAGATTTCGTATCGAGAAAGGACAATTTCGCTCATGGAAGTCCATTACAAAAATTGCCCATTACAAAGCCTTATGTCCTTTAATCGATCTGATTCAATCTTGGATAAATCAACCACCCCGTTCTTATCTTTTGCTCTCGTAAAATGCCTCGACAGAGTTGCAACAGATCGAATGATAGGACCGATTGAGTGTTTGCGCGACGATGATAGTCTAGTATATGTAATGGATGCTGATGGAGCAATGGATAGGCTGCCATTAAATTGTCACACATCTAAAACAGCCGAAATAGCAAATAGTGGGTTAATACATAGTGGTGTGATTCCAGCAATTGAGAGCCAGCTAAGAACTGGAGAGATCATTGAAGAATGGAGAACTCTTGACTGCTACTATGGTTGTGAAACATCATGGAATTACTGTGCTTACAATAGTACAAGTAATGAAACCATCTGTTATAATCCGAGGCACAAAAGTAAGTGACAATCATAATCTCTTTCTCAAGTAGTTATACTTATCATTTATCACTAGCTAGTTATGAAGCATATTCAAAAGGATATGAATTATTGAGGCTTCCACCTTGGTGTTTGTCGTTTGGGAAAGCTTGGCTTGAGCAGTTAACTCAAAGAGGCTTATGTTTAATAACATGTTGGCTAATTAGCATATCATTTTTGTTTGTGTTTTGCAGGTTCTCATGTACCTTTGATTATAGGTAAGCTTTCCTCAATAAATCTTTTATTCTTGTATAAACTTATACATATTCATACTGATTGTGGTTTTGTACCTCCAGGCACAAGTATTGGTGGCACCATTTTACTTGCAGTGATGATATTTTTAATCTGCAGATCAAGAAAATCTGACAATGAAAAAGAAACTTGGCTGAAGATAGAGAAATTCCTAACAAATTACAAGACCCTTTCTTTAACTAGATACAATTTCTCTGAGATCAAAAAGATAACTCGTCGATTTAAACACAAACTAGGCCAAGGAGGTTGTGGAAGTGTTTACCAAGGAAGTCTTCCTAATGGAATACCAGTTGCAGTTAAAATGCTCGAGAATTCAAGAGGAAATGGTGAAGAATTCATCAATGAAGTGATTGCTATAAGCAGGATACACCATTTCAATGTCGTTCGCCTTTTGGGTTACTGCTACGAAGGGACTCAGCGTGCTCTTGTCTACGAGTTCATGCCCAATGGTTCACTTGAGAAGTTCATCATCTCAATTATCGATGATTCAAAGACTCATCGACAATTGAGTTGGGAAAAGATACAACAAATTGCAATAGGCATTGCCAGAGGAATTGAGTATTTGCACCAAGGATGTAACCAAAGGATCCTACATTTCGACATCAAGCCTCACAACATTTTACTAGACCATAATTTTCAGCCTAAGATTGCTGATTTTGGGCTGGCCAAGCTTTCCTCAAAGGATCAAAGTATTATATCTGTGACAGGTGCAAGAGGGACTCCGGGCTATATCGCACCCGAGCTTTTCTTGAGGAACTTTGGAGAGGTTTCGTACAAGTCAGATGTATACAGTTTTGGAATGTTGTTATTAGACATTTGTGGTTGTAGGAACAACAAAGTCGATGAAACAGTTGAAGATCAAAGCCAGATTTATTTGCCAGAATGCATTTATGACAGATTGAGTGAAGGGAAAGAGCTGGAATTGCAAATTGAGACGGGTGAAGAAGAGATGATAGCCAAGAAGCTCACAATTGTGGCCTTTTGGTGCATTCAATGGAGGCCAAAGGATCGACCTTCCATGGCAATGGTGGTTCAGATGCTGGAAGGTGACTTGCAAAGTCTAAAAATGCCTCCAAAGCCTTTTGTTTCTTCGGATGTCGATGTTGGTTCAACTTGATGTTGATTGCTGAAATTGTTAAGCGTATGCTTCCATGACATCAATTTCCTTGTTTTGTACTTATGGTTTGCCAAGCCGGATGGTGCTTAAAATCGAAAAACGCTGGTGTATGTAGTGTCGTGCGCTCCACATGTATAATTATGGGTGAAGATCCACTTCGTTTCTCCCACTTCGCAGAACAACAATAACAAAAACTCTTATATTACTAATCATCTTTGTGTAAGTTTAGTTGTAAGGTGTTGCATAGGGTTGATGCAGTAGATTTTTAAAACATTACGTAGAATGCAAGCCCAAAATTCATACATATAAGGTATCTCTTAAACACATAAACATACTTCATCAAGCGATACCAGAGTTGGGTTACCATTATTCACCCCTCTTAGAGGCACACATCCACGTATGAGACTCGTTAAAATCCCGGCAATTTAACATTCTGAAGGAAAAGATGACCAATAAGCTATCTCCTATGGTCCCACAAAATTGAGATGCACAAGGGGTGTACAAAACTACATGATCCTTGCTTCACGAGAGTCAATGACTTTAAAGCCAATGATAATGCCTTAGATTGATATTGTATAATGTTGTCACGTCGGCCTAGACCTGCACAATTTTAACAAGCTTTGGACAACAAAAGTTCAAAGCTTATATTGATCTTAAAATACTCGTCACACATTCCACTAAACGACATGAAATTAGGTGACTAAAAGGGGGAGTTCAAAGTTTACACACTTATAAACACTCGTCAATCTGGTCCAAAATTAGGGCAGGTTTATTGTCTTACACTGTTTAATGAACGCAAATATGATATATGCTTTCCATGCTGAATAAAACCACCAAAGAAAAAGATAATTTTCCAAATTTTTTGTTTTTAGATTTACTCTTGTAGAGTATATACATGCAATCACCTGTTAACTATAAGTAATTTAGTTAAACATAGGAGTAATCGACAGGATTAAGTTTACGGTTTCTCCAAAATTCAATTTCACACTACGCTATCGGTACGAGTTGAATCCATAAATTAGACATGATGGTAAGGAGTTAATTATATACTAGTACATGCTAGGAGGTTGGGAATGTATCTGCAAACCCCTGGGGATTAGTCTGTACAAATTTACAAAACTGAACAGGGCTTCCAGGGGAACAACCTGAAGAAAATGGGTACAATAAAGCACTTATAGAAATGAGAAGTGTTTTTCCTTTTTTTTTTTTTTTTCCGGATATTGTGGGGTACCACACTAAGAGTGTGTTTGACATGACTTAAAAAAAAGTGTTTTTGAGACTTTTAACTTATAAATTTTTTTTTTTTTTTTTAAAAAATAGTGTTTGACTTAACTTGTTAAAAATATTTTTTGAGAAGTAAAAGTAATTTGAGCACTTAAATAAGTTAATAAAAAAAGTAATAATAATTAACTTTTACTTTTAAAAATCACTTCTCATTTTTACTTATCATTTTCTCCTCCCTCCTTCGATAGCTCTCTGTGAGTCGCTGTAGCTCTAGTCCCCGGTAGCTTAGATAGTGAGAAACTCACCAATAGATGAAGGAGCAAAGATTGAACTCTCCCATAGGTTTTCCACCGCATCTTCTGATACACATTTCACTTTAGCTTCATGTCTGGCGGAAATTTTTTTTTCCTTGATTTTTCAACCTGAGTCAAAGCTTGAGATTCCTTCGCCAGGTCTTCCAACAAACCACTATTTCCTAGTGGAAATTCTGGTGCAATTTCATACTCATCAGCATCACTTGATGTTGCATCTACTATATAGCCACTCCCAGTGTTTGCAGACGAAGTTGGTGATGGTTTTGGTATTGGTGATTGGATTGAAGGCAGCTCAATACCCTTGTCCAATGAACTGTTTGGATAAAAAGAAACTTCCTTATAATGGAAAGAAATAAAATGAAGTGAAAGTGTTTGTTGAAATAGCTCACTGAAAAAGTCAGTATTAAACCAAGGCTCTGTGGCCATAGGAAATGACAAAATAGGGGATGCAAATGACAAAGCGAGACCACCATAGTTGTCACGAAAGAGATTGAACTGGGGGTTAAAATTGGGAAGAAATGAAGAGTTTGAGTGGTGCTTTGGAGGATTGGCAGTGGGTGGAAACAATACATTAATTTAAGTTTTTACATCTAAATATGTTTTTTATAAAATACATTAATTTAAATATTTTAAATTTTGAATATCCAAACAATACTTATTTAATAAAAGTGTTTTTCTTATAAATATTTTTGATAAACATTTATTAAAAAAATATTTTTTAGATTTTATAAATTATCCGAAATACACTCTTAAAAAGTTATTGATTTTGGATTAATTAATTTGTAGCAATTGACCGTAAAAATAATAAAAAAATAAATTCAAAATAATTTACATATGTCATATTTTTATGGAACAGCCAGTATAGATATGTCTATCTAATGTTTTGTTTTAATGACGGGATAGGTGATGTACAGACCCACAAATTAAAAAAAAAAATAAAAAAATCCTACGTCTAAGTGGGAAGGAGATGTAGAGACAGTCTTGACCGTAGTTTTTTAGGACTGAGTCAACAAAAAAGTGATAAAAATACCAACAAAAATTATTAAAATATATGCAAAAATTAAAAATGATGGTCCAATTTCCATTTTTTTTTTGTTAGGACCTAGACTACTCCTTCAATATAACACCACACGAACACAAAACAAAAGTACTCATTGTCAACCAACTGGGGAAGCTCAGTTGGCCAGTGTCTCTGGCTACCCAGTGGGAGGTCAGGATTCGAAGTTCTCCGGACGCAAAAAATTTTGGTTGTTTGGTAAGACAAAACTTCGTATTTAAATTTCTGGTGTGAATTTTAAATTTTCGATAAAATACAAGTCTTAATTTAAATAGTATATGAGTTGGTACACCCGAATTTTAGTCTTGATTCTACCCTTAACCACTAGCCTGAGCGCATGAGTGCGCCTCTTCTCGGTGAGGGCATGCTTTGGAATTTCCCATATAACGAAAAAGTACTCATTGTCAAACCAATTATCATCAACTACTGTACTTGTGAACATCCTACAAAAGGTCTGGACAAACTTTTAAGGGAAGTTATACTGTATTAGTGTTGAAAATTATATATTTTTAATGTTAAATTATAATTTTTTTCATGTATAAATTACAACTTCAAAGAGTATGATCAATCATAAAATATTGTGATCGATACTATATTTTTTATGATCAATCATAAGTATCTGTGATCGATCATGACCTTCTGTTGTAACTTGTAATTTCTTATTTTAAATTATATTTTTACCATAAAAAATAGTAACCGGTGTAAAAATTTTTTTTTTTTGGTACCATAAAGTTTCCCTATTTTTAAAGCAACTAAATGGTTAATATGATTCTGATCAAAAAAAAATAAAATGGTTAATATGATGACTTTCTCTAAAGATAAATACTACTTAAGTTGAGTACTTAATTTACAAACTTAATTAGTTATAATTACGAAATTCAAAGTGAATTCTGTACAATATTAAAATTCACGACTAGTTTAACAACTACAATACACTTGGATTATGAATTAAAATTTTGAATTAAGTCCCTCTCTCGTCTAAATTCAAGCAAAAGGGAAAACAAAAACTTAAAAGGCAAAGTTGGAATAGAACTGATTTGAGATGAAGTTGGATGTCACATCTACAATAACTGTGAATTAAGTAGAAACTAATTTAAAAACGTGTATAAGCTTTTGCTAGCTAGGAAGGGCTGCTCAAGAAAGATCTTCTGTTACTCCTCAGATCCTCCCACTTTTGTTAACCAAAAGCTGCATATTGAATACCCATGAAGCCAACTTCAAGTAAACCAATAACATTAAGAGAGAGAGAGAGAGATCTTTATCTCTAGTTGATTTCCAGAGCAAATACATGATGATAGGTGTAAGTAATGTTATTTTGGGATCTAAAAGGGAAAACAGGCTAGTTGTTCAGTACCTGGTAAGGTTGATCAAAAGAGTGCAGTTTCTGCAGCAGTTTTATCCTGATTGGACATATAGTAGTGCCACTTAGTTCGTTGTAAGAAGTCCGAGTGGATCTAATTTGTTTGATTTATTGATCTGATAGTAGTTATAAATTTAAAAAAAAAAAAAAATTAATAATTACAATCGCAATGATTTTATTGGACCATGCTATAACTGCATTATTAGATCAATAAATCCCGTCAAGTTTTTAAGTCTCAACATTGAGAGAGGCAAAAGACATGAAAGATCTTTTAACTTCAGTACATTACAAGAGCAAATACATGATAGGTGTAAGTGATGCATGCCCAGCAGCATTTAGAACCACCCCACCCCCACCCCCAGCCACCATATTAAACACCAGAAGCTACCTTGTATGCATCTCTTACATCCCATGCTTTCATTTCATAACATACACCAAAAAAGCAAAAGAAAAAAAAAAGGCAAACACGTAAAAAAAACCAAACACCCAAGGTTAAAGATGGAACTAAAAAGGTATTTTAAAGGTAAATTCGGACCGCTACCCTCAATTCCCCGCAATGCAATATTGTCGCTCTCCCAATTCTGCCCTTATATGAAGCTAGAACTCAGGAGAGAGAAATTGCAAAGCTTTGTTTGTTGCTCTTTTGCCATCAGCTTCAACACTTATTTACATAAGTAAACCTCCTCCGCCGCCCACGCCACCCTCTTCCTGTGTAGCCACCGCCCAAGTCGGTGAACCACCGCCGGAAACCACCCATTATCGTATAAGCTGTGAGAATAATTTCAAAGCTCAAAAGGAGCTACAGAACTGAGGCTGAAGTGGCTAAAGCTAGCAAGAAAGAAAGACTAGAAAGAAAGTGAATGTAGGCATAAGAGGAAGGGACATCATGGTTAGTGTATATATAGGCGAGATTGTAGCTTTTGGTTGAATGTGAAATATATTATAGATATTCGCTCTCTCTATCTGTAATTATAGATAGGCTTTTCCTATTGTGATTAGGAAAATGTTATAGATATTCTCTCTCTCTCTAATTATAGATAGGCTTTTCTTATTGTGATTAGGAAAATGCTAAATAGACTTAAAATATAATGACCCATATCATTAAGTTAAGTTTTTAAGTTTGTATAACATTGCTCTTGTGATTATAGTTGTAGAAAAATAGTATTTTAGGCCATGGTAAGATTGATTGTTTATAGTTTGGGTCTCAACATATTCTAAACACAAGAACATAGTTTATCGATGATAAAGCAAAACTATGCATTTATGATCTTTTCTAAATCTAAAATGACAAAAAATTTGAGCACTAAGCTAGTAAGACTAGGGATAATTCGTGTCTGAAGGCACGATGTAATATGAATGATTTTGATAAGGATATTGGTGGTTAATGAATTTATTTGAAACCATCAGATAAACTCATTGAAATATGTCCAATTTTATAATATAAATATGACTTATCATAAAAGGCTCGGTGTTAAAACTCGCATGAGTTATATTAGTGCAAAATAAGGGATGAGATTTAATTCTACATGTTTTAAGTTCTCAAATTTTATTAACCTCACAAAATCCAAATTTAAACGATATGCCTAGTTTGTGAATGATTTTATGCGTCCGATACCTTCATTGTTATCTTGAATCTAAAGACACCAAGTGGGGTGATTTTCCATTAAAGAAAGAAAAAAAAGGGTATTGTTAGTGTTGAAATCCTCGGTCCAAGTTAGTGAAGGGCATGTTTGTGGGGGAATGCCAAAAAAAAAAAAAAAAAATTTAGGACTGAGTCAACAAAAAAGTGATAAAAATACCAACAAAAATTATTAAAATATATACAAAAATTAAAAATGATGGTCCAATTTCCATTTTTTTTTTGTTAGGACCTAGACTACTCCTTCAATATAACACCACACGAACACAAAACAAAAGTACTCATTGTCAACCAACTGGGGAAGCTCAGTTGGCCAGTGTCTCTGGCTACCCAGTGGGAGGTCAGGATTCGAAGTTCTCCGGACGCAAAAAATTTTGGTTGTTTGGTAAGACAAAACTTCGTATTTAAATTTCTGGTGTGAATTTTAAATTTTCGATAAAATACAAGTCTTAATTTAAATAGTATATGAGTTGGTACACCCGAATTTTAGTCTTGATTCTACCCTTAACCACTAGCCTGAGCGCATGAGTGCGCCTCTTCTCGGTGAGGGCATGCTTTGGAATTTCCCATATAACGAAAAAGTACTCATTGTCAAACCAATTATCATCAACTACTGTACTTGTGAACATCCTACAAAAGGTCTGGACAAACTTTTAAGGGAAGTTATACTGTATTAGTGTTGAAAATTATATATTTTTAATGTTAAATTATAATTTTTTTCATGTATAAATTACAACTTCAAAGAGTATGATCAATCATAAAATATTGTGATCGATACTATATTTTTTATGATCAATCATAAGTATCTGTGATCGATCATGACCTTCTGTTGTAACTTGTAATTTCTTATTTTAAATTATATTTTTACCATAAAAAATAGTAACCGGTGTAAAAATTTTTTTTTTTTGGTACCATAAAGTTTCCCTATTTTTAAAGCAACTAAATGGTTAATATGATTCTGATCAAAAAAAAATAAAATGGTTAATATGATGACTTTCTCTAAAGATAAATACTACTTAAGTTGAGTACTTAATTTACAAACTTAATTAGTTATAATTACGAAATTCAAAGTGAATTCTGTACAATATTAAAATTCACGACTAGTTTAACAACTACAATACACTTGGATTATGAATTAAAATTTTGAATTAAGTCCCTCTCTCGTCTAAATTCAAGCAAAAGGGAAAACAAAAACTTAGAAGGCAAAGTTGGAATAGAACTGATTTGAGATGAAGTTGGATGTCACATCTACAATAACTGTGAATTAAGTAGAAACTAATTTAAAAACGTGTATAAGCTTTTGCTAGCTAGGAAGGGCTGCTCAAGAAAGATCTTCTGTTACTCCTCAGATCCTCCCACTTTTGTTAACCAAAAGCTGCATATTGAATACCCATGAAGCCAACTTCAAGTAAACCAATAACATTAAGAGAGAGAGAGAGAGAGATCTTTATCTCTAGTTGATTTCCAGAGCAAATACATGATGATAGGTGTAAGTAATGTTATTTTGGGATCTAAAAGGGAAAACAGGCTAGTTGTTCAGTACCTGGTAAGGTTGATCAAAAGAGTGCAGTTTCTGCAGCAGTTTTATCCTGATTGGACATATAGTAGTGCCACTTAGTTCGTTGTAAGAAGTCCGAGTGGATCTAATTTGTTTGATTTATTGATCTGATAGTAGTTATAAATTTAAAAAAAAAAAAAATTAATAATTACAGTCGCAATGATTTTATTGGACCATGCTATAATTGCATTATTAGATCAATAAATCCCGTCAATTTTTTAAGTCTCAACATTGAGAGAGGCAAAAGACATGAAAGATCTTTTAACTTCAGTACATTACAAGAGCAAATACATGATAGGTGTAAGTGATGCATGCCCAGCAGCATTTAGAACCACCCCACCCCCACCCCCAGCCACCATATTAAACACCAGAAGCTACCTTGTATGCATCTCTTACATCCCATGCTTTCATTTCATAACATACACCAAAAAAGCAAAAGAAAAAAAAAAGGCAAACACGTAAAAAAAAACCAAACACCCAAGGTTAAAGATGGAACTAAAAAGGTATTTTAAAGGTAAATTCGGACCGCTACCCTCAATTCCCCGCAATGCAATATTGTCGCTCTCCCAATTCTGCCCTTATATGAAGCTAGAACTCGGGAGAGAGAAATTGCAAAGCTTTGTTTGTTGCTCTTTTGCCATCAGCTTCAACACTTATTTACATAAGTAAACCTCCTCCGCCGCCCACGCCACCCTCTTCCTGTGTAGCCACCGCCCAAGTCGGTGAACCACCGCCGGAAACCACCCATTATCGTATAAGCTGTGAGAATAATTTCAAAGCTCAAAAGGAGCTACAGAACTGAGGCTGAAGTGGCTAAAGCTAGCAAGAAAGAAAGACTAGAAAGAAAGTGAATGTAGGCATAAGAGGAAGGGACATCATGGTTAGTGTATATATAGGCGAGATTGTAGCTTTTGGTTGAATGTGAAATATATTATAGATATTCGCTCTCTCTATCTGTAATTATAGATAGGCTTTTCCTATTGTGATTAGGAAAATGTTATAGATATTCTCTCTCTCTCTAATTATAGATAGGCTTTTCTTATTGTGATTAGGAAAATGCTAAATAGACTTAAAATATAATGACCCATATCATTAAGTTAAGTTTTTAAGTTTGTATAACATTGCTCTTGTGATTATAGTTGTAGAAAAATAGTATTTTAGGCCATGGTAAGATTGATTGTTTATAGTTTGGGTCTCAACATATTCTAAACACAAGAACATAGTTTATCGATGATAAAGCAAAACTATGCATTTATGATCTTTTCTAAATCTAAAATGACAAAAAATTTGAGCACTAAGCTAGTAAGACTAGGGATAATTCGTGTCTGAAGGCACGATGTAATATGAATGATTTTGATAAGGATATTGGTGGTTAATGAATTTATTTGAAACCATCAGATAAACTCATTGAAATATGTCCAATTTTATAATATAAATATGACTTATCATAAAAGGCTCGGTGTTAAAACTCGCATGAGTTATATTAGTGCAAAATAAGGGATGAGATTTAATTCTACATGTTTTAAGTTCTCAAATTTTATTAACCTCACAAAATCCAAATTTAAACGATATGCCTAGTTTGTGAATGATTTTATGCGTCCGATACCTTCATTGTTATCTTGAATCTAAAGACACCAAGTGGGGTGATTTTCCATTAAAGAAAGAAAAAAAAGGGTATTGTTAGTGTTGAAATCCTCGGTCCAAGTTAGTGAAGGGCATGTTTGTGGGGGAATGCCAAAAAAAAAAAAAAAAAAACTCCACTAACTCGTTTTCCAAGGCTCTTGGAATTTTCATATTGTTTCCATGGAGGAGAAGAAAAGTAGCACTTGATGGGGTTTGTTTGTCTGTCCATGTGAACTTGGCTCATTCAACCTTATGCACATTGATGGGTGTGTTTCAAATCTATCACACTCAGCTCAAGACAAGAGTCTTTCATGACCTACTTTTTAGTTTTATTACCTTATTATTGAGTGTGTGGGTAAGTGGAATGTGTGATAGGTCATTGTTTGGTATGGTATGGAAAGAATGGGACTATGCACACAAGTTGTGAGGTTTGAGTGCTTCAACCCCAAAGATTTCAAACTTTGATTTGGATTTAACGGCCTCAAATTGCCCGTTTTCCTTTCGCTTTATGAGATTACTACAAAAATTTATGTTGAATAATAGAAACTTGTTCAAAAAATTGAGTTAAAATTTGATTTGTGATGAGAGAGTTTGGATGAAGTTTATAAAAATATATAGATTTCGGATAAAAATTGATCCACATGGGGGGCAAAACTGTCGAACAACTGTCGCAAGATGTAAGAGTAACTCACTTGGGGTGGAATTAATGAAACTTTAGGACACTTTGTACGGGAGTTATAAGTAAGTTGAAATTTTCTACTAATATTTGGATATCTTTGAAAATGTATTATACTTGTTTGAGTAGTGTTATGTATCCCAAATTTGTATCCCAAATCAAGGAGGACCATTGGATCAGTGGATTCCATCAACTTTTTTAAATAGAATCCACTGATCCAATGATTTTCCTTAATTTGGGATATAAATTTGGGATACATATCATTACTCTACTTGTTTTATGACATATTTACAAGAGATAACAACGGACTATAGACCCAATATCTTAACAATGGGTATCTCAATGAATGGACCAAATTTCATCGCTAAAACTTTCAGGCAACAATTTGTGTGTCTTTGGTGATGATCGTCTTTGTCACCAAAAAACATTGTGGTCGCGGTGGAATGTGAGGCAAGGAAGGGGTTTTGGGGAGGAGGCCGGGATTTAGCCTCTGGGGTGAGGGAGAAGGTGTTGCCGATGATGGCAGAGCTCTGTCTCTCTCATCTAGATCCTCTATTGCACAACAGAGGTGCTGTTCCTCAAAACGACGTCATTTCACACTAAAATGATATCATTTTATTTAATTAAATGATGTTCTTTTGGTGTGAAATAACGTTGTTTTGAAAAATAACACTTCTGAGAACAGAAAATCTTAGTTCTCCACTCTCTTTCTCTCTCTCATTTATTAAATTTTGAACTATTTAAACAGATAATTACCAATTACATAAAAATCATTTCTCAATCAAAATTTTGATTGAGATTTGGCTGGGATTGGTGGTGTTACGCGGTTGTGATTTTGTATTAATAAAATTTAGGGGGGTTTATAGTATATTTCAGTGGCATTGGATTCTTTACATTGCAAGGTCAAAACGAAGTGGGGTAGTCTGCCTAGGATTTCAAGAAATAATTGCACTCTTTACTAGTCTAGTCTTTTTTATTCTTAGGATAATGGATGTGAAGACATAGAAACTCCCTTTTAGTTTTAATAATGAAGAAACTACGATTGGAGTAATCTTATTTGAAATTAAAATTTTGATTTAATTTATTAACGTAATGACATGGTTTCATTGAAACTTTTGGTTCAACACTAAATTTTAATATTTGATAGAACTCACAATCAATTTAATGAATTAACCCTAAAAAAAATAAAAAAAAATAATGAATTAAATCAGCAAATTAAATTTCACCGGCATTACTTTAATATTAATGGGTACAAAAAGAAAATGGATTCTAAGTCACTTTACCATGGATTTGTCTATTGCACGAAAAAGGAAAAGGTAAAAGATGAAGTCCATAAGTCAGCCAATAGGGAGATTCTCGTGCCCCTTTCGCTGTTTACTCTCCATTTTCTTTTTGTTGGGTCACAGTGTGCTCCAAATAAGACCACCAAAAAGTTGGTGGGTTGTCTTCATCATTGATAGAATTCTTTGTCATCTTCCATAACATGATGAACTAATAAAGTCACCCCCTTAAGTGGATTTGGGTTGAAATGTGTCATGGAGAAAATAGTCATGCCCATTAGACACCACATAATATTATTTATAAAATATTATATATACTCAATTAATTGTTGTCACTTGTGAAGTTGTCGGATTTTTTTTTTTTTTGAAAAAAATTAATTGTTGGTTCCGAGAAAAAATTATTGTGACAATTTCTTATTAAGTGTAGACATCACATGACACTGGCACCTTGGTGTCTTATAAGCACCGAATATTTTCTCTATTTCATGAGTTATTATCTTGAATTTCTAAATTTACATCTAGTCCGATTGTTCGTGATTTAGTCTTATTACCTCTAGTATCGTACCCACGAGTATAAAAAAGATAAATAATCGAAATGATTCACAAAAAAAAATGTTAATGAAACTCAAAAATTGGACTTAATTTACAAAGTTAATGATGTCATATTAACATGGTCGGATAGCACTGTTATAACTTTAAGTGTTAAACTTATTCATGAAAACTATATGACTTGATATATTATTAAATTAACAGAATATCCTCATCATTCAAAAGAGAATTAAAAGATCTTCTAACTTTTTTAAAATTGGACGAGAGTCAAACTTGTAGTTTTGTATTGCATTTGGTAAACTCAATGTGTTATGTATTGTAATTACTTTTCATAAAGAAAAAAACAACCCTATGTTTGAATGATTGTGCGCTGGATGACATGATATTATTGTTATATTAAGAATACTATTTTGGGGATAATGAGAGAATTTTTTAGTTTGTTCTTAGTGAGTAGAGACGCACTTATATCGTTCAAGATCGTGAGTCTGAGTAAAAGCGAGGACAAACTATGAGTGCATGAATTGGTCTCTCAAACTATACACTAATTTAATTAGGATTTGTGCTTCGATAAGGATTTAAACACAAACTAGAGACTTGAATATAGTTCGTCTAAATAACTGAAATTTATTCTACAAACCAATTACGTTGTTTTTCGCCCAAGAAATTTAAACTCTTAATCTCAAGACAAACGATATCATTGAATGAAAGACCCGTTAATTACGGTAAGAATGTTTGCATAGGATAATTTGTTTAAGTTGACTCTCACAAGGTTTGGATCTATGATCAAACAATAATAGAGTAGGTCCCATAAGTTGAAACACAAAAAGCCTTGGGCCATGCATGTCAATCCACTTCTTAGTGGGTGCTCCACTTTTTGAAAAATCCAGTGTAAATCGTGACCGTCAATTCATATTATACGGCTAGATTTGATTTCTTGCTTATATTCACATCATCACCACGCCAATACTACGTCATGAACACACTAAATAAGAGAATTGTATTGTAACAAGCTAATCCCGTCCAACCCGTTTTGAATGGGTCGGATCTGAAGGAGTTACACGATTAAATCGATACTGATAAGTTGTTTAATTCATTTGTAGTTCCACAAGTTTTTTTGGAAGGCAATAGTTTACCACATTATCTAACAAAGAACAAATAAAAAATGATTGAAAATTACGGGTGCATCTCCGGTGGATTAAGCTGGTTGAGATATCAATTTGGTACTCCATCCCCAAATTATAAAACTCTCAATCCAAGTGTAATTCAAAGTCAAATGCAACCCTAACCTTAACCTTTTAATTTGAATAAGATTCATGTTTAAAATTTTTGAATTTTGATTGAACTAGAGTTATACATTTTAAACCGACCAACAATTAATTGACTTTGTTCCGATAGTCACAAGGCGCATTACATCGAGTTCTTTATCGGTTTTGTGTCTTTACATCATGAAGTGCATAAAGATATAATCGCCAAAGTGCACCTGTCACACATGCAAACTCTTAATTAAGTAAGACGACTCCCATCTCTTGATTAGATGAGATTAGTTTTGGTAAAAATCAAGTTTAATTCGAATTTGATTCTTGAATTATATAATTCATAATTGAGTTCAGATTAAATTTG